GAGGGGATGAACAGGGTGTGAGGAGCCTGGGGAGGTGAAAGAGAAAATGAGAAGCAGCAAATATATTACTGCTTTTGCCAATAGTGCAACGTGGTCGTAGCCATTGAAAGGAGGCACAAAAAATGGTGACATTCACTTCAGAATGGCAGCAGGGACAAAGTTGTGCTTAGAAAATTATGCATGTAGCTCCTTGAGCAGAATGAAGGCCAAGAACAGTACACGTACCTGCTATGAAACAGCCCCAGGCTGGGGAGTTTGCAATTTAAATAGCCACAGGCACACCACGGTGTGTTATTGTTCACATACTACCGGCGAGCAGCTGAGTTACCAGGACATCTTTCACTTTCAGAGACTTGCACCTACTGGACCGCAACCCAGTACCTGACTACAGCTCTGTCCTGCCTCTGAACAGCCTTCTGTCGCGGCGTGTCTCTAACCAGGCTCAGACTTTCCTCTCGGAGGGGATGTGAAGATGAACGGAATTGCCCCGATTTCTGCGCTGCCTCGGCTATGTCCACATGGTGCAGCAGTTTGCAAGGCAAGTGCATGGAAAGGGTTACGGGTAAGTCCTGGTTCCGGCTATGCCCTTATCAGCTACTCGAGGTGTAACACACACGGCAGCAGTGCTATCAGAGCTCCCATGAGAATGGATCTGTTGATATCCGTAGTTAATTGCGAGATGGGCCTTTTCCTACAGTTCATCATCTCCTTGCAGTTACAGCATCACACCGATTTGTTCATGCTTTTCATGTACAATAGCGAAGGAAGACTAAACCTGGAGGTGCTACCCAGGGGTCTCGGATAATGACCTTTAAAGTGATTTACATTTTTGAAATAATTTGGTGTTAGTGTAGAGATCAAAACGCTAAACCTGGCTACTGCCAAAAAGTCAAACAGGCCAAGCAAACTTCTTTGTTCAAGCTGAGAAACCTGCAAAAAAAAAACCCTAAGTAAACTGAGCAGAATAAAATTAGAAGAAAATTATAGTCTTGATTCAAACCTCAATTACGTTAGTTTTTATGCTAGATATGTCCTGGGAACACATCCTGATATGATGCGTTATTAGTAAGACAGGAAAGGATGTCATTAAAAAGAAATCCTTGTATTCTTACAGTGTCAGTTAAAAGAATACAAGACGAAAATAGTTCCTATCCTGCTTAGAAGTTCACATAACATGACCAATAATCCTTTGCATGTTTTATTTTGAAAACAAAGCAGTCCAAAAGGAAGATTTTTTTTTTTAATATTAAGACTGTATTCCATGCAGATAATCCATAGTAAATACATTGCATTAAAAGACAGTTAAAGTGCCTTTAGTCCCCCCAAATAGTCCAACTGTGCTGTAAATTCAAGTATGTGGAAAGTAGGCCTTTAGTTATTAAGAGAATATTTTTAAATCTGGGTCCTGCTCCCATTGATGTAAAAAAAGGGGAGGGTTAGCCCCTAACTTCTGTAGGAGCAGAACCAACCTCACGATGGTCTCTGATAAACCCTGTGCTGTTTTCCCAACTGCTGAACGCAGACAAGCGGCCAAGGAGCAGATTGGTGATGTCATTTTCTGCCTGATGACAGGCAGCTGCCTTACGCCCGAACGACGCGCTCAGCAGTTGCCACCAACTGCCGGGGCACGGTGCTTGGAAAGCCAAATGAGGAGCTGTAGCAGTAGTTTGTGTTTCGCATCCTCTTTTAACCGGCTGAGCAAGGGACTGAGCACAGCTAACAGCCCCAGCCCGACTTATAGCTAGAAAATATACAGGTCAATATACACGTACATTACGCAGTCTGCTTTGAAGCAAGCCCAAACACCGGGTTCATCAGAATCCAGAGGGAAAAGCTCAGGATGTGGCTAGAGAAGCCACAGGATTAAAAGCAAAATCAAACTCTTTTTATGTCAGAGTCGCCATCATCACGTTCTTGCTTCGGCACTTGAGACTACCAAGATTAACCGGCATCTTGAAGTCAGAGTTACACAAGGGAGGAGTGTTGATCCTGATGTGTTTGACTTGGTGCAGCCAGCATTATACTTGAGCCCAGACTCTTCTCCTCTCTTCAAAATCAGAGCAGTACGTGTTGATGGTAAAGACATTCTTCTCTTTCTTCTAGGCATCGGCAACATTACTGTTGGGCTTTCTGGAATTTAATAGACAACCTCTTCTTTTCCACCACAAAGCCACGTGCAAAGAACATTCAAAAAAGATTGCTCCCTGCTGACTCACCCACTTCCCAGGTGTGAACTTCAAGTGTCCAGAGCTAGACCTCATGTCAAAAGGTAGGACAGAATTTTATTTTATTTTTTTTTTCTCCTCCTTGAGACACAGCATCTAAGCCCCTCGCTTCTCCTGGCTAGGCAGTGGGAGATGCTGGCTGAATCCAGACCTTCAGCTCAGAGCATGCACGTGACTATGGGCAGTATATGGGCTTCTCCATCTACTCTACCATGACGTCTTATAGAGATGATGAATTGGAGCTGTTAACGCTCTACCTGACAATACCCCAGACCATATTCCTCAGTAGAAGGCAGACCAAACATCTGTTGCACAGACACAGAATAGCCTGATGTGTTTTGTTGCTTTCCTTAAAGGGGGAAAAAAAAAAGCCTTTTTTACTCCAGGCACTCAGAACTTGGCATCTCCCGTGAAGTACAGGTATTTTATGTATCTCAACTGCTTCTGTGCTACGGCACTTGGATGTTGTTGTTCTCCACCTGAGTATCTGATCCTCTTCTGAATCCTTCTAAGATCTTGGCTGCAGTAACGCAGCAGTGATTTATACAGCTCAATTGCACTCTATTTAGTTTTCTTTTAAATTCACAGCATTTCAGAATTGTTGGATGTTACCTAGAATTTCTAGGGGTTGTAGGAGAAGAGGAGTGCCCAAAACCTTGCTGTTATTGTGTATTGCATGTTTAGAAAAACAGTAAAAACAAGGCCATTATTTAAAAAAGAGTTAAACTAGAGAAAATTCCTTACCAGCTCATAACCATTTCAAAGGGGATCAGATCCTGGGCAAAAACTAGATAACAGCATCCCTTTGAATTCTTTCTACTTCAGGGAAACAGGGGAAAAAACAACCTTCCAGTTGAAAGCTTTATTTGCGAATAAAGTTTATCTTCAAAATATATCTTAAGAGAGACTGTCTGGGCCATAAGAACTTGGCACGACTCAGTCTGACTTACCCCGTTTGAGCATTTTGGTGCCTTTATGCCATAATAAGATGCAGCAAAGTCTCCCTAGTGGCTATGTATGAGAAAGTATAATCTGGGGTCTAAATGCCACAAAGCATCCATATTTATCTTTAATGGCTATATAAATTCAGCAGATGAGAAGGAAAACATTAATTAGACAGACCCTGCCTTTGGCAGTAATCACCACCAGTGACAGCTGAACCAGCCAGTGGATAAAATATGCACGAAACATGATTATCAGAATAAATAACTGAGGATCAAGAGAAAATTAAAAAAAAAAAAAAAAAAAGCCCCACACAACCAACATCTTTTTTAGTGGGGGAAATAAAACTTTACCCTGGACTTTGGACTCTCTCTCTTCTTTTTTTTTTAATACAAGCTTTAGGGCCCAATCCTGCAGCTGGTGTCTGTGGCAGTAGGGTAGCGTATTTCTGCAGATCAGTCTTGAATTTTGATTGCACAGAAGGAGTAGATAACCCTGAGAGGTCTAGTGTCGAAGCCCTTAATTAGGGTCAGATTCCAGAATGATGATATACGTACAAATCCAGACCAGGGGCCTATCGCAGACATAATAATAAAAATAGAAAAAATTCCACTGACTTGAGTAGGCTCTAAAACGATGATGTTAACAAGGCGATTTTTAGATTTTCAATGGTATCAAGGCATGTATGCCTTCACTCCTTATTTATGTGAAACGCCCATGAATAAGCTCAGATTTACTTAAGGATTTTGCCCGGGGAGGACACTGCTTGCGCTTGTGCTCTGTCCCCCTCCTCTTCCATCGAAACCCACTCTGTTCCTGCTGGATTAGTGGCTGTGGCCCAAGGATGTATTTTAAAGGAATCTAAAATTTTTTTTCACACTCTGTCTCCTTTGGGGTAAGGGTCATAGTAATTAGATGCCAAAAAGTGCATCAGAGCCATTGGCTCGCAAACATCCTGAAGGTGAATCCTCTGCAGGGTTTTGCCCTTAAAATAGATGAGGTTTCCCTTTCTCTGGAGCAGGGGGTGGAAGCTGCTGCTTTGAAGGGAGAGGAGGGCAGGGAGTTGAAGCCATGGGTGGTAGAAGACCAACTGCAGGATGAAAAGACAAGGGCACAAGGCTTTGCGGCCGTGAAGACGAAATTAAATGTTGCCTGACCCAAAAGGAGGCGAAGGGGAGAGTGGAGAAAGGGACAGAGGTGGGGAAGAGGGGACAGGAGAGGGGAGGTGAGCCCTGGAGAGCCAACCTTGCCTCTCCTGGGCCACCAACAGCACCCATCCCCAGCCGCCCAGCCTCTCCCTGGAGAGAAGAGGCAGCCAGCCCGACTTTCCCTAGTGCAGGGAGAGCCAGCGTGCAGCAAAAATCAACCGTTTTGCTGTCCTCAAGAGCCTGCTGCTTGAGGCAACTGCGTATTTTCGCCTGTACTGAGATTTGCCCCCACTTTGCTGCCCCTGTTAAGACTCCCGGTGGAGAAGGGACGAGGTCAGCCACACACAGCGGGGGGAAAAACCCAACCACAAAACAAAAAAACCCATGCCAATCCAAAACTTTGACTGTGCTTTTTTCTTCCACCACATCCAGGGCTTCAGTGCCAGGCTGCCGGCAGAGTCCAGCGTCACAACTGCCTGCCGCCGCTGCAGGCTCTGCTGTCCCCTGCGGAATCCAGGTGAGGCCCAGCCTCCCGTCACCCTGACTCATTCTTTTCAAATGCTCCATTGGGTCTTTTTCCTCTCCTTGCTGTTTCTTTTCCAAGAGGGGAAAGACTTTGCGATAGAATAACAGAAGACTCCAACACTTGGGACATGAGAGGTTCGAGACGCAGGGGGAGAAGCGCTCAGCACTGCTCTGCTTCGACAAAGCCCTCCTTCTCCTGGCTGGCCGGCTCCACCTCTGAGTACGTTGCATGGTTGGTGTGATTTCGGAATTTCATGGCAGGCCAGTGATGTGGCCTTCGCTGTGGACAGAAACAAAGACCCATCAGAAGCTATGCCTGCAGGGAAATTGGAGACTTGGGCCTGAAACAAATACAGTGCTGTCTTTGTGAAAGTTTGACTTTTTGTTAATGAAAATAGGTTTTAAAAAATTGGTTCATGCTTAAAAGAGTTCATTACAATGCATCGATCTCACTGGGCTGACCCACCTAATAAGGTTAAAATGAGGAGTGGGGAGGAAATGGAAAGTTTAAGTGAAATCTCACATCAGCCTCAGAACAAGGCTGGCCTGTGCAGCCACGGATGGCCACGGGCTTCCCGTGCGACCACGTACACGTCAGCTCTGTGTCCCCTTTCCATCTGCAAAACAGGGACAACTGCGATGCCCCTCCTCAGCCGGGCGTAGATAAATGCATCAAACATCGCCGAGCGCTCAGATACTAAACTGGCAGAGGGCGTGAAGGTCAATTCCCTGAAGCCTGTCTCTTCAGACAGGGCAGCTGGAGGAAAGACAAGGGCTCTAGGAAAAGCCAGCGAGTGATGAGGAAAGGCTGAGGGCGAAGTGCTGCTCACTCCCTCCGCAGCAGCTCCTGTGCCAGGATTCAGCCCACTTCTGACTGCCTCGGGATCCTGCACCAAGCGGTCTTCTGCCTTTTCGCAGCAGATGGAGATTGTTGGACCCCCTATCTTTCCGAGAATTAAAATCTTCCATTTAGAGCATTCACACCACTGCTTACCCAGTAGCTGATGGCGTGACATCTATCAGTAAAGCCTGACAATTTTAGTCAACAAAATCCAGCTGGGCAATTCAAAAAGCAGCGATTGCAATTATGTCACAGCTCCAACTGAGCCCTCCGACCAGGCTGCGTGTCGACTGCTCGTGCAAGCAGGTGGGAGAGTCTCTAACGTCGCACAGGGGAAAAAAGGCAACGTGTGACAGGGAGCATGTGAAAGGGAGCAAAATAAAACAGCGTGGGAGGGAGAGAGCCTAAGTTTAAAACATCTTCAACTGGAGGTTGGGAGATCAGCTGTGACTGTAGGACCATGAAAAGAAACTCTCTATGAACTCAGTCAAAGAACCTCTCTCCTCTGCTCTTTGCTCCCTGCTCTTCTCTAGAAGATTAGGATTTGTGATGATAGCCCAGGAAGAGAAAACCGGCCAGGGATGAAGTTCTCCGCTCACCTCGATGAAGAACAGGGCAGCGTTGGAAGTGGGGTGGCTGTTGATGTAGATTCCAGCGAGGATAATACCGGCAATGAGCACCACAGCCAGAACGATGCCCACGATAGTACCTGTGTGAATCGGGGCGCCTGCTTTCTTGGAAGGAAGGCTGCTCCCCATACCTGCAAAAAAGGCTTTGGTTGAGGCTTGAACTGTGCTGAGACCTCGGTAGAAGAAAGGCCAGACAAGAAAAGCAAGGCAAGACCTTCCCGAGCTCCACACGTACGACTGAGCAACGCAGCCTGCTACCGGCAGGCTCGACAAGAGGGGAAGACGCACCAGAGAGCTGCTGCCCGAGCTTGGCATCCCATTCAGATGATGGCAGTAGCTGGGCTGAAAGGAGATTAAACCACCACCATGCAGTAACTCCCCCACCCTCGCCAATCCATATTCTTTATATATCGGCAGCTCACGCTGACAGAAAGCCATTAGCCATATGCTGAGTGGGGTCCTCAGCGCATCTCACCCCCAGCCCTCCAGCTTGCCCTCGGTCCTCCGCTATGAATATGCAATTGCAGAGAGCTACGGAGGGTGGATGCGGCATGTATTAACAGGGACGTTACCAGCCATTTGAGGAGAGATTTGGCTGAAACTGGGAAGATGGTGCACTTCAAAGGAACCGATCCTGCACCCAGTTTAGCCAGTTTAACTTCCCTGAGCTGCTCTCAGGTAAGAGGGATGGGCTCATGGTTTGCATACGACCACAGTTCTTGTGAACCTGACATGGAGCGAAGAGGGCTCCGCTCCTTCCTGTACTCTGGAATTAATGGGAGCATCACAGTTCAGTTCCCTGCCCGTGGGGCTGCCGAGCAGGCTCGGACTGAGAAAGGATTCACGGGAACAGAGATGAAAAAGGCCGAGCTGGGCTAAGGACATACTTTAAATTTGGATTTTACAGTGTTCTTTGGCACAGCTGGGGAAATTGAAAAGAAAAAAAAAAAAAGGACTTTGTGTCTTTATGCAAAAACTGCAAAAAAAAAAGGGAATTACATGGAAAGAAAAAACACATCCTCTTAGTTTGCGCAGCAGGACTAAGTGGGGAAAGCGGACAAACAGCAGCAGGGTAAACCAGATTGGTCCCGACTCGCTTTTCTCTACCTGAAATGGTTTTAATCAGGGTAAGGACAATTGGACTCTTATCCTGATTGCATCCTCCAGTCGCAGTTTCACCTGTCCACCCGCTGACTGATCGCAACTCCCCGGTGCATTTGATTTCAGCCTAACATGTTTTCACTTGGAACGAATGTGAGCAGGCGGAGAGAAGATTAAGGGCTTACCTTCGCTTCCTGCATACTGATTGAGCTTTGTGTCATCTAAAAGAAGAAAACAAAAAGGCCAAAAAATAAAGTTAGGAGCCTTTTCTGATATTCTGCACACTTCCCACCCACTTTCATCCCTCTGCAATGGGGCCGCTGGCACAACACACCTCTAACAGAGCGTTTACGTGGTCAGTGACGGTTTTAAACCTCTGAGTTTGGTGGAAGCACGTGGCTTACGGTTTATTGTCTTCCTTCACAAAGGTGGGACGTGGAGCACGAACATCTGAGGGAACCAGTCTTTAAATACGCTCTGTGCACAAAGCAGAACAGTAAGCCAACGCAGGATGGGGCTGCAGCCCTGGTGGGTGTCTGTGTTCAGACTATGGCGTTGGCAGCAATATGCTGCCAATACACCCCGAATAAATCACTGGGGTGTTACGCTGCAGCTGTCTTGCATGGGGGCCCAAACCCCAATTCCGTTCTTCCTCTGAGTCTGGAAGCACCAAGGTGTATCATACAAGGCTTTACGTCTTGATGCTCACCACCCTCGTGGGTCCAGCTGAAATCCCAGGCCAGAATTAGCTGAAGTCCCGGGCCAGAATTCTGCCTGTTTGGCTTCCAGGTCTGCCGAGACATGGCCAGCGAGTCGGCCACGTTCACAACCGTTGTCGTGAGCAGAGCCAGCAAGCGGGGCCGGCTGGGGAGGACGCGGAGGGGCGGGTCCCCTCCTTTGCTGGGCTTGTTCCTTTGCTGGGCTTCTCCAGATAAAGTTCGCTGCCTGATGCAGCTGGCTGTTTGTTCCCTTCCAAGATTACAAATTAACTTCATGCTTGACTATGTCACAGAAAAGCCTCTTGTGCTTTTTCCAAGAACTGGCGATGAGTTGGAAAATAATCTCAGTGGTGGTGTTACACTCCCCCTTCCTTTAATTGCTCCTTTCAAAGTCAACGCTGCCAGCCAGGCGCTGCCGTCCTCCCCCCCGACTCCTTCCCATTGCTGAAGGACAATTACTAATGTTCCTTTCTATTTATTCTAATTAGCAGTTTGCGTTAGGGACTATTAAGCAGCAAAATTGAAGTGATACCTGCCGCTAGGATCTGAGGAGCCAGCCCTGTGTTAATAGGATTATCAAGCTGTAGAATGTGGGTGTCTCGAGGGAAACTCGGGTCCTTGTGTGGAGCTTTCCTGTGCTGGAAGGAGCTCCGTTCCCAGGCAGAGGACAGTCACAAGCCTGTGCTGTGCTACTGCCCGTCTGCGAGCGCTGCCAGCCTGGAGTCACCAGCCGGACCGGGCACATTAAAAGCATGAGCCCCTCTATACAGTATTAACCTCTGTCATGATGCCGCGGGGTCCGGCCACCAGGGACGAGTTGTTTGTTGACCTTCGCAAATGCGTAAGACGGCTGCTATGCATCTGTGAAACTCTTCCCACCGCAGGGTTTCCCATCTCCCCTTGCCGCATCACTCCCAGTCTCACCCCGTAGGCTGCCCGTCCTCCTTCCCACCGCCTCCTGTTCCCACCCCTGCCCTGCGCCTCAGAGCTGGGTTTGTTAGTGTAGTTATTTGGCCATGAATTGGCTTTAGGAGGCATCAGAGTGAAAGACATCTCCAGGAATAAGCATGGAGGATGGGGTGTCCCCGCCACAGCCGCTCACCCTGCCCGCCCCTACCTTCTGTGGTGAGGCTGTCAATGAAGAGTGAGGACGTGGAGGTGGTGACATCCTCGTCCAGCGGCGAGAAAGAGCTGTGAGGAGGTGCCGAATAGTGGTCGCCTTCTGCTAAATCCTCGCAGGTCTTCTCATCTGACTGGAAAGAGAATGAAGAACAGCCACTTTTCCTGGTTCTTCCAGCAATGGTGCCAGCGAGCCAGCGGTGAGGACTCTGCTTCCCAGGCTCAGGGCTGCCGAGCCCTCGGGGTTCAAACCCTGGAGGGGAAGCAGGGGACACGGTCCAGAAATGCCAGAAGAAGTATGTGGGGAGGTGACCTGGAGGTTGGAGAAGAGAAGGAAAAGTTTGGGAACTGCTTAAGTAGGACAAATGACAATGATCTGGCGAGGTCCTACAGTCTGACCTTCTTGCATCGCTGGATGACCTTACATAGGTCCTATGACCTCCTTTTCCCTCGCTCAACCCTCTTGGTTAACAAGGAACAAAGCTGAGTTTTCAGTGGGGAAAAAAAAAAAAACCAACAAAAAACCCCAAGCAGAACCAGATGTTTCGTTAGAGCTGATCTTTCTGAGACAAAGAAACTAGTTCATGCAATGTGGAGATAATTGTGCTAACAAGGACAAAAAAAAAAAATAAAAAATCACAAGGGCTAATTTCTTCATGCTTGAGAGTGAGTAAGAGTCATGCTTCAGAAGGTGAAGAAAAAAATATCCCAGTGTTCTCAAATTGCACCATTTGGTAACTTACGGAGGTCTCTGCATCTTTACTGACCATCCAGTGCAGAAGGAAGACACCAGCGAGGCACAGACAGATAATGCTGCATTAGATGGACCACCTTTTAACCATCCCACTACAGACAGCCTCTGTTAATTGGATCAGGGGTCCTGACGTGATGGGAAAGGAGATCTGAAGGGACACTCAGCCTGTTCCAGAACAGCATGGGCCAAGTGGAGCTGAGCATGAATTTTTTGAACTGTTTCTCCTGTAGTCCACACCTTCCCCAGCAGAGGACCTAAGAGAAGTGGTTCTTCTCTCAGTCTCACCTTCTGGCCACAGCCGTAGGACAGCCACTCCTCACGGTACCGGTCAAAGCCGCTGGAACACCTGCGGAGAAGAGCAGTATTGACCTGTGGCAGATGAATTCCTGAGAGACACAGCAACCATAACGCTCGTTCGCCCGCTCTGCGTGGGTGGCAGCGTTAATGATTTCTCACAGAACCACAGACTGGTCAGGGTTGGAAGGGCCCTCTGGAGATCATTGAGTCCAAGCCCCTGCCAGAGCAGGGGCACCTACAGCTCTCAGCTGCCTCAAGGTCCCAAATGCTGCCCCAACGGGCGCTGTATACAGATACTTGGACAAACAAGTATCTGAGGACTGGAAAGATTATATACAAGTTGGTCTCCAAAGACATGGGGTTTCCAGTACAGCTGTGCTGGAAGGACCCAAATGTTCCTCTTCACAGAGGAGGAAAAGGGTCAACACTGCTCCTCCAAGGGAAACGGAGAAGCAGAGAAATAGGAAAAATATATAGACTGAGTTTGAATTTCCATTCCCTGGACTCTGTGCCAGGGCAAGGCCATGATCTCCACAAGGGTTTGTTTTTTTTCCAGCAACATCTGCGCAGGAAAAACACATTAAAGAAATTATAAACGGCATCAGGAGAACACCAGCTAGAGAAATCTCTACAGAAACAGAGGTAACGAAATAGCACTCTGACCTTTGGAAAGTCTCTGGGGATACCAGAATATGAATCAGGGGTTCAGCTCATACAAGCACTGATTTACCCAATTACCAACCAGTAAAAGAGGAGAAGCCACAAAGAACTTTAGGTCCTGCTGAGTTGCTGAGATCTTTGCTTAAAGTACAGTTCCTGTAACAATCACGGGCTCAGCAAAAGCAAAAATACAAACTCCGCTGCCCAGAAGAGAGCTAAGAGGACCCGGGTTAAATCACTGAGCTGGACTCGGGATGCGAGTTCAAAGCCTGGAAGCCACTCTACCAACCTCCCTGGGAAAGATCACGTCGGTTTTGCAAAACCAACCCGGTTGAAAGCCAACAAGGTAGCGGCAGGCTTGCTCTAGCTTGCAATTTCCACCCCGCTTGCCATTTGTACTTTCCACTTGTAACCTAAGCTCTGCTGGACGGAGCCGCCAATATGCAGTTACGGCTGCAGGAAGCATGGAATTTAGCCAACACATCAAGAAGACACCATAATATAAGTGGTAAGAGCAAACATCAGCAACAACGACTTGGATTGTGGAAGACTGGGTTTGCAAACACCGTGAATTTGGAATAAGCAGAATGACGAAGTCTTGAACCCTGGGGTTTCAGCCCAAACAAGATCCAGCCTAAGCCACTGCATCCTGGGCTTGGTTTCGCTACCAAAGCCACATCTGGTTTCACGCATCTCTCTCAGCTGCGAGAACATAATATTCTCTGATCTGAAGCCACCGCTGAGCAACTGTCACTGAAAAATGATGTTCCCCTGGCTCGGGTTGTATTGCAGCCCACTGAAAGGCAGGGAATCAACGCTGATTTATTGGGTCACTTTGCTGATGTCTCAGGATCTTTCCCCGTCCCAGCTGCCCGGCTCATACCTTGCTGAACCTGCTGCGTGTAAGGAAAGGGTGCAAAGGACACGAGCTGGCAACATGCGCTGGCAGCCCAGGAAGCCACCCCCATCCCGGGCTGCATCCCCAGCAGCGTGGCCAGCAGGGCGAGGGGGGATTGTGCCCCTCTGCTGCGCTCTGCTCTGAGGAGACCCCCCTGCAGTGCTGCCTCCAGCTCGGGGGGTCCCAACAAGCAGAAGGACACGGAGCTGTTGGAGCGGGGCCAGAGGAGGGCACGGAGATGCTGGGAGGGCTGGAGCCCCTCTGCTGGGAGGACAGGCTGGGAGAGTTGGGGGGGTTCAGCCTGGAGAAGAGAAGGCGAAAAAGGGGAGACCTCAGAGCCCCTTCCAGTGCCTGAAGGGGCTCCAGGAGAGCTGGGGAGGGACTCTGCATCAGGGAGGGGAGCAATAGAACGAGGGGGAACAGTTTTAAACTGAAAGAGGGGAGATTTAGACTAGATATAAAGAAGACATTTTTTACAATCGGGGCTCGTAGCGACCTGGTCTGGTTTGAGATGTCCCTGCTTATGGCAGGGGGTTGGACTGGATGGCCTTTAAAAGTCCTTTCCAACCCAAACTGTTCTGTGATTCTACGATTCCAAGTCTTGATCGTAGCGAGAGCAGGGCTACAGCAAGGACCACGGAGGTGCCCTGCGAGCACAGCCAGGGCGTGCTGGGGAAGGGGCCAGCCAGCCAGCATGCCTTCCTGGGACAGCCGGGCATCTCCCAAGCATGGCTGTCCCCGTGCCGCCTGTGAGGATCTGTGTTATTGGGTCCTCTCCCCTGCCACTAGCTCTAAATATTTCAGCAAAATCTCATTAAACTCTCTCATGCTCCGTATCGCACTGCTTGAGCTGAAGAAGAGCACGGAGCAGGACTGCTGCACGGCTGGGACTGCCCCGGCTCCCCAAATCCTCTGTTTACCCCCAAAAAAAGCAGCAAGTGCCCCCCCGCAGCCTTGCCATGTCTTGTCCCCAAGGAGGGCACGTCCCCTGCAGCGAGAGGGGCTGATGAGCATCCCTGGCTCTCTGACGGACCTGCCGTCCTTCAGACTTGAGCGTGTCCCACCGTCCCTGCCCTGCTCTTCTCTTCTGCCCAATATCCCAGCTTAAGTCAGGACAAGTTTCCCCCATGTTTAATCTCACGGACAAAAACATGAGTCTTGCTTTTGGTCTCAACTTGTTCAGGCTGCTGCACTGAAACATGAGGACCAAGAACCCCAACCTTGGGAAACGTCTCCTGTCGATGGCTTGTGACCGGCGATCAGACCGCCGCTTAACCACGGCCATGAGACTACGAGAGCAGCGCCCTCACCAAACCGAAAAGCAATGACAACAACAAAAATAAAAGAACAACAAAAAAAGTAATAAAAAAAGAAATAGTAATAAAAACCCAGCAAGACTGGTACAGGCATCAGACCTGGAGCTCCACTCGCTCTCCCAACTATAGAAACATTAGCAAGAGAAGAGGTGGGAAGAAAACTCATCCCAGCTACCTCTGCAGGACATGGCACCAGCTGCAGTTGAAGGTCAGCTCCGAGGTCACACACATTTCACAGCTCTGGTGCTGGAGACAAGCTGTAAAAGAGAGAGGAGAGACACACCAGTGACACGCCAGCACCTGCCTGGGCAGGCGGGAGCACGTGCTGAAGGCTGGTGGCAAGGGTAGAACCCACCCGAGCATCGACAGATCCAACCGCGCTCCGCAGCGGTCCTGCAGGACCTTCCTAGCAGGAGTGGACTCCCAGTCCACCTGTAAACGTCTTCCCGTTCTGTTTAGCCGGGAATTAAAACACAACTGAGACTGACGCCGTTTCTAATTGTCCAGAGGGTGTTTCTCAGAAGGAAGGAAGCCATACAAACAGTTTAACCCTCTGTTGCTACATCTGTACTGAGTAGTTCTACAAGAACATCTCCGCACTGGGGAGGATTAGCTGCTTGTAGAGTACCATCAGTTGCTTGTCATCCTGTCTAGCAAAGACGACCAAGAAGGCTCATCTGCAAGAAAAGCCAAAGCAGCCGGCAGTTTTCACGAGCCCCTCGGGAGTCCCTGAGAGCCCTCAGCCACAGAGCCCAGAGCTGACGCGGTGCTGTGAAACACCGAGTGGTGAAGGCAGAACACCGGTGGTTCCCGTCCTGCATGGCTGCGCAGGACCCTGAAAGGCAGCGGCATAGAATCATAGAATCACTGAGGTTGGAAGGGATCTCTAAGATCATCAAGTCCAACCATCAACCTGCCCTGACAAAACCACCTCTAAACCATGGCCCCAGGTACCACATCTGCCCTTTTTTTAAACACCTCCAGGGATGGCGAATCTCCCCCCTCCCTGGGCAGCCTCTTCCAATGTCTAATAACCCTTTTGGTGAAAAAATGTTTCCTAATATCCAATCTAAACCTCCCCTGACAGAACTTGAATCCATTTCCTCTCATCCTGTCACTTTTCACCAGGGAGAAGAGCTCAGCCCCCACCTCTCTACAACCCCCTACAACCCCGTCCCACCAGCACGCCGCCGCCCTCGCCCACGCTCTCCATCGCCTCTTCAGCCACGGGCTCCCTGTTCCGCCCCTCGCATTTGGGCAAACCCCCCTACTGCAGCTCCCCCAGCCCTGGGCTGCCCACACTTTTCTGCCCTCCTCCGGACCTCATCTCCTCCGCTTGCCCATCCCGAGTTTTTCCCAAGCTCCCTGCGACGTGGAGGCAACGAGCGAGCAAGGACCTCTGGAGAAGAGGCAGAGGCTAACCCAGTTCATCCACTTCTGACCTGAATAAAGCTCAAAATTAAACCCCCAGAAGAAAAAGTGGAGCCTAGGTCTCTCCAGGAGCTCTGTGGCTCCTCTGAAGATGCCGCTCTCAGCTACCCTAGCTGCTGGGGGAAAACGAAATAGCAAGTCTTAAGGAGAAAAAATAGAATTATTGCAGAATGCTTATTTATGATCTGCTTTGCAGTAACCCTGCCTGCTGTTAAAATTGTCATAAAATACCCTGGGGAGACCGTTTAAATGCATAACCTTGGTATCTTCGTGACAGATTTACTCTCCGCTCTGTATTTACAGACTGCATGACGACTTTCCCTCGTGCGCATGTGTCCTTGGATCCGAACACTAAAAATGTATCTATTTAACAGGATTCTTAAGAAATTTCTTCTGAGTGTGGAGGCGTAGAAAAACGTCTTGTAGACAGACCTGAAGTGAACCAGCGTCCAGCAAAATTAGCTGCGGCTCACGGAGCAAAGAGAAGGCGTTTCAGCGGTTGGAGAGGTGGGAAGAGCTGTCAGGGCAGGGATTAAGGAATCAAAGTACTGGGGCGAGAGGGGATCTACGGGTGAGCAGCAAGAGCAAAGCAGGTACGGTGTAACTGCCCGCAGATCCTTCCTTTATCAGCTTCTCCCGCACCAGCTCAGCTTTGCTGCATCCCGGGCTGCCGGCTCAGCGACGGAGCAGCCGGGCTGGCACACACACGGGGTTTGCTGTTGGCTGAGGGCGATTCTGAGCCGATAAACCCCGGCAGGGCTGCACGTACGAGATGTTCAGCGACCGCCATGCACAGACCTTCTCCCAGAGGCCCCCGAGCAGGGGCGAGCTGGACCCTGGCCGGTAGCCCACCCTCCCTCCATGGCTGCGGTGCGCAGCAGGATCCCAACCGTGGGGTGATGGGTGGCAGCACCCGTTGAACCTGCCTTGCCTTCCCCCTTTGGCTGTAAATAGGAGGCTCTTGTAGTTTCTGGGTGAAACCACGGGAGGGAAACCCACTCCGGGGCACCACACCAACCCGCCTGACTTACTGGGCAGCGGGGTGAACTCCACGGCTGACATGTTGGTGATCTTGCTGGTGTCCAGCTCCACGCGATGATATTCATAGATGGTCCGACGGCGGGACTCTGAAACACCGAGCCTTGGCTTTAGACTGGGCACAAACTCACCCTGCACGCCCTTCCCCGTCCTGCAAAGGGGTTTATCCCACACGTGTGTTTGGGAAAGCTTGTGGGGCTGCTGCCGGCTCCCAGCTGAAAGGCAAAGGTGGCCCCAGGTCTCAGGGTCGTTCCTGCGGGAGAGGACGATGTATGGCGGCTGCCAGGCTGCAGGAGAAGCAACGCAGGAGGTGCTGGGAGGGAGGAGGGATGTCAGGGCACAAATCTCCTCTTCCCCGTTTTGCTAGGAGGAGCTTTGGAGCTCTCTGTCCCCCTTCTCCCCGACCAGAGGCTCCCGAGATGGCTGTGGTCCAGTCCTGCACCGCTCTAAACAAACACGGAACTGCACAACACATTGCTCGTCAGTGACTCACGGGGCTGCGAGCCTCCCCCATGCGCAGCGCTCGCCCGGAGCTCCGCACCGCTCCCCGGGCTCCCACTCCACAGCCGCCTTCCCCCCCAAAAAAGCCTCCTTCTTCCCCCATCCCTCACGCCTTGCCCGCTTCCTTCTCTTTCCCCCTTCATCCCAGGGGCTATCCTGGATTCAGGCTTCTCCCAGATTTTCTCCCAGCGTCTGCCACTAATTCAAGCGACGACACCAGCCAAGATGCTTCTCTGGCTTCACACTTATCTTTGAGGATGATCAAACTTCTCCTTCCAGCGTGGCCACAGCTCCTCGCTGCTCTGCTCCACACTTGGAGACCAGTGGATGAGCAGGACAATGTGCTCTCCCCTCCTGCCCGCTCCTCTCCTTCCCTTCAAGCCTTGTTCCTTCAACTCATTAGGGTTTTTTCATACCCAGTTCTTGCGTTTCTTCTCCCCCCTGCTTTCCCTCACACCCCGGGGCAGGCAGGAGGCGCAGGCAGGAGGTGCAGGCAGGGCTCAGCACGCCCATGGGGACGGAGGGCACCAGCGCGGCGCGGGGCAGGCTGGCGGGGCGGCGAGGGGAGGCACCATCCAGCCTGGCCGAGGTTTTACACAAACTGTTGTAAACGGGTAATAAATGAGGGCCAGATGGCAGGTTCCATAAATAACAAGGAAAAGCAAGCGCGCCGGGTGCAGCGCGGGGAGGCAGGCGCAGGGTTGGGCTCCCCGTGACAAGAGGGGACGGGAGAGGCTGGAAGAACCTTTTCGGTGAGCTCACCCCACCGTGCAGCTCACGGCACGTGCCGAATAAGCGTGTGGACACATATGTAGCTGTCCCCACATCCTGCCGACACGGGTACGGATCCCAGCCCTGCCCGCAGCAGCCATGCAGCGCCCGTGCCATACCACACATTCAAGGACAGTCCGAAGCAGCAGCGGTGCGTCTTGTGGGCTCCCCTGAACCCCCACACCTATAGGAATGGGGCACTGAGCACCCCCCTAAGCCTCTCGTCCATCTGCCGTCTCGTTTGCAACTGTTCTTCCCCTCCTCCTCATCAGCTGGAAATCAGGGAAGCGTTCGCTTGGCTGCTCACTGCGAGTCTGCGCGCTCTGGGCGAGACACACGAAGCCCTTTGCCTGCAGCACGTCGCCAAAGCACACAGCGTTCGTGGGCTGGAACTACCCTGACCCGCGGGGCCACCCAGAGCACAGGGCTGCACGATGGCCTTGGCCATGGAGAGATGCGCCCCGAGAGGGATGCACCCCATGAGAGATGCAGCCCATGAGAGATGAGGCCCAAGAGAGATGTGCCCCAAGAGAGATGCGCCCCAAGAGAGATGCGCCTGGAGATGTGGGACATGAGGAGCATCCATGCAGCTGAGCCCCACACGCCTCCTCGCCCTCCTGTGTTCCCCATCATGAATCCACGCAGCACATCCTCATGTCTTGAAGTGCCCAGAGACAAGGACGTCTCATCTCTCCTTCCCCATCTCCCAGCCGCGGTGCCGGGGAGCCTCGGCATCCCTGCGGGATCAGCAGCTTCCCTGCCCCAGCAGCCGCCTCCCCCCGGGTCCTCAAGCGCAGCGACTCACCAGGCACATCGGGAGATGGGTTGAGGATCATGAAGGCATCGGAGAGGCCAGCTTTCACGGGGTGCTGGGTGGCACTGATCTGTAGGACCGGCACGGGGATCTGCAGCCAGGGAGAGAGGGTGTGATGGACCCGAGCCCTGCCCCGGGCGCCCGGTGCTGCCGCAGAGGTCTCCAGTGGCACTGGGAATGCCCAGACTCAGCATGTGAACGGTTGTAACAACAAAGCTCCTCCCAGACCCAAAGGGATCCCCCGCAGGGACCCTCCTGCCGCGTCCTCCCCCAGCAGAAACCTCCCTCACCTCCTTGTACCCAAAGACGATTCTCCCGGTGCTGTGCAGGGCCGCCTGGAAGGTGAAGCTGCCCATGTCCTCCTTCCCCTGAAGATAGACCTTGTCCCACTGCACCACAAAAACAGTCCCTGGAGGAGAGACCGGAGTGGATCAGTCCCTTCATCTCTCACCACCCCACATCTCAACAGCCTGTCCGGTCCTCTTCTGCCGGTGAAGCTCCAAGTCACTTCATCCCCCAACCTCCAGTGCATCACTCTGAGCAGAGCCACGAACAAGCCCCTCCAAACATCCCACAGCCCCCCTGGGCGCTGAACAGCCCCTGCGCCCTGAGGTCCCCTTCCGCAGACCCTCACCCAGCTCCGGCCCCTCTGTGTGCTCCGGAGAGCTGAGCTTTGCCCAGTTTTGGGAGGAAGGAGCGGGCAGCAGGGCTGCCTGCAGCTCTGCACGTACGGCAGCACCACAGCTCACGTGGGGACCGGCCGGAGCAGCGCTCACCATTGTCCAAGTACTGGACGGTGGAGTTGTGGGAGTAGCTGGGGTTGAAGTTGGCCATGAGGGGTGCGACGTACTGCGTGGCCGTCAGCATCCGGTGGATGACGTCCCCCATGAAGATAAACCCTGAGCGAGCAGAGCACCCTGTCCCTGCCTCACCCGTCCCTTTTTTTACCCTCAGCATCCACTCCTGGCTTTCCTCCAAGCCTGTGGGACCCCCCCCGCAATCCCTCAACCGCTGCAGGAACTGAGGCACCTGCAGCATCCAACTCCCTGAGCAGCAGCAGCAGGGACGGGGTTAGACTTGGGGTGGAGGGACAAAGCCAGAAGGGCTCCATCCCCTTCTCCGTCCGAGCTCCGCGGGCTCTGGGACATGGGATGAGGTTAGAGGCACCACCAGAGCCACATCCAAGCCCTCCCGCCACGGGAACGCCGACTGAGCACGGACACCCCGTCCCATCCCGACTCACCGCCCGTCGCTATCGTGACCTGCCGCAGGAGGTGGCCGTAGAAGGGGAAGTCAAAGGAGAGGACGATTCTCTGCAGGAGGGAGATGGGGTGAGAGCCGCGCTCAGCCCTCAGTAAAACGCCTGCCAGGCGTGCGGGGGGACGGCTCCGTGCCCACCGGCACCCGCGCTGCCCTGGCTTGGAGCAAGGTGCATGGAGGGGTGGGAGAGGGATGGGAACAGGGGTCCTGCGGGTGCCTGGTCCCCACGGCTCATCCCATTCTGCCCAGCAGGACCAGCCCTGGAGGAGACCAAACCCTTTCCGAGCCACAGTCTCCACCGGCTGGCACCAGGGCGGGGGGGGGG